TAATGGGCCGAAAATCGAAAATGTAAATTTTTGCATTTCTCGACGTTTTGAAGGTTTCTGAACATTTTGGCACCTCAGAAAAAATGGATGTGTGTGTGCGTTTGTATGTCCGCATTTTTTCGTCCACGTTTTCGGGCGCACGGATCAACCGATTTGAATGGTTCAAAAAACATTAGTTCCTATTGTTAGGGAAATGTGCTGATTAGTTTTGGCAAAGGCAGATCCAGCCGTTTCGGAGATACGGAGCAAAGAGTGCAGGAAATAGAAATCGAGTTTTTGAGGACCCGGATCCTCCTATTTGTATGATCCAAAAAACATTCAGTTTATAATGACGGGGAAAAGTGGTTATTAGTTTTTAGCAAAGGTAGGCCCAGCGGTTTTGTAGATACAAGGCTAGATGTGCAAAAAATTGCAGTTTTTGAGTGAACTAAGCGTCCGATTTAAATTATTCAAAGAACTTTCTGCTTATTCAACAAATCAATAGCTTTTGGAAAAAAAAAATTGTTTCTAATTTTTTATAAAAAAATATTTTTGTAAAAAATTCTCCAGGCTAAGCACAGTCTAAGCGCCACTCTGGTACAAATGTTTACCCAAGTGCGTTTAGACTGTTATGTACTGGAGCGATTTTCCAATTTTGTGAAAAACTATTGAAAAATGTGAAAATGCCGCCAAGATAAGCATAGTATAAGTGAAAATGTCGTACAAAATTATTTGCAAATGCGTTTAGACTGTGGCTAAACAGGAGCAATTTTTCAATTTTGTGTAAAATTAGGCAACTATTTTTTTTTAAATTGCAATTCAAAATGAAATGACGATTGTTAATGTTCCTGGAGATAAATTGATTTATAATCTAAATTTGATTTGCTCAGATATAAAAAGATAGCAAAAATAATGAAAAGTTACAGCTTTTGTAATAATATATTGAAAACGTTTAAAATTTCTCGAACATTTCATTACGGTACGGAAAGTTTCAGCAATTTGCCTTAAGGCACGATGCCATACACCACTAGTTTTAATATTTAATTTCAAAAATCTGAGTGTCTTGGTAACATTTCACTCACCGCCTACAATAAAACCACATCTGTCTCCTCTCCATCTTTTTCTCTTCTAGGGACAAACTCTTTAAAAAGATATATTTACATATCACAAAACAATCAAGTGGGTGGTGGGTTTGACCTCGACAACCAACCCACTGACCTATTTCGACCCAGTCGAATTCATAATATTTTTGACGTCATAATTTACGAGACAGAAGACAAATGATGAAGTAGAAAATAGTTGGTAAGGACTAGGGAATGCAATACCGATTTTTCGGCGGTAATTTTACCGGTACTTACCCCAAAAATACCGGTATTTTCGGTATATTTACATAAGCGCTACTTGATACATAATACATTAAAGTTTAAGTTTCTCGGAAACAGTGTATCTTTAAATTCCATAATCGCATAAACAGCTATATCTTCAAGTGATTCTATAGGATAAACAAATGTCAAATATTATCTCAACTCGTCATTAAACTGAATATTTATTGCTTTCCAAAGGGCTTCATATCGTGTTACAATAAATAGAATCGGACTGATAGATAATGATGTTTGTTTCATCTTATGTAAAAATGTAACGGTTTTTTAAGTGATATTTGCGTCAAAATATTTTATATCATACAGATTACCTCTGCGTAATCTTTTTTTTTTCTAACTTTATACAAATAATTATGATAATACTAAATATTTTTGCTTCTTATTACAATTATAAAATATTATTTTTCGAAACGTTTCGAAGTTTGAAAATACTATAGAAGCATCACATGTTTTAAATAACAATACAACAACAATTATAGTAATTATTATTTATCTCGACAAAGAATCCGATCTTAAATAAGTGTAGAAAATTATTTTTTTTTTAAATATTGGAGATTATGCTAATTTAACACATCAGATACATCGAATACAGTTTATTATAATAATGTAAAATGATCTCTTATGAGTTTTTGGTCTTTCTTACTCATAAGTTCGTTTTTGTGAAAAGTACTCAATATAGTGATAATGATTAATTAAATTGGATATAATTTTTGTTAAATTATTACCTAAAAAAATAAACTTATTGTTTTATTTTATTGTTTCTATTGTTTAGTTCAATATAGTTGTAGTTGTATAGACATTTTTTTATATTTGTACTAGTAACTTTCAATTGTGTTTACGTTTGTGTAAGATAATAAAAATACCGGTAATTTACACCGGTTTTACAATGAAAAATTACCGAAATACCGGTATTGAAATTTTGCATCGGTATTGCATTCCCTAGTAAGGACTTTTTTTCTTCTTACCTTTGACGACCAGAGTGACATTGTAGTTGATTTTAGGGTCAGTGTTGACTTGGCATTCGTACCTTCCAGAATCTTCTAATTTTGCTTTTTTGACCACAAGACCCCAAGATAGATCTCCTGGTGTATGTGAGACACTAAACCTGGGGTCAGCAGTAAAGGTTAATCGACCTGATGTCAGAATGTGGAGGTCTCTGCCACGAATCCAGGATACCTAGAAAAATAATAACAAATATATATATTAATCAACGTATGGAACAGTAAAAACTATATTTTTGTGTTGTAAACGAAACAATAGTGCTCAAAAACCAAAAAAAGAGTACTCGTAAGGATCACGCGCGCGATTGAAATACAACTTCTTTGCTACTGTACAAAGTAGCATTGTGTAGCAATAATTGTGTTTGAAAAACTCCGTGTAATTAAAATTAACATACATTCATTGACTGTTTGTATTTTTTACTTTTTTGCTGACGATGCAATCTCGTTCCTTAAACAGCTTATCTGTCTTGCCTACAAAATTGAAGCCATACTTTTATATTTGTTTTATTTATCAAGCCGTGCACATAGCTTGATCTATGAATCATTTTCTTTTTATGTGAATATTAATGCAATGATAATCATCAATATTACGAGGTAATAAATTAACCATATTATTAACGTCAACAGGCACATTTATAATTTGACCAAATATTCCAAATTGACCATTTGCATGTCGCAATCGTCTAATTTGCACGAAACACAACCTAGGTGAAATTAACCTTTCAGATACAGTATCTAGTTTAGGTAGATAATTTGGTATATGTGAAATACAAATCGTTAAATTTACACAAAGTGGGAATTTTACCCAAATTTAATGCTTTTCGACAAGTTTGACATCCAACCTGATTATTTGAATCAATTTTCAGAAAATCATCATTAAGAATTTGTTTTTGAGCTTTATTTAATATTTTTAAGTCACTTTGACAACAAAGTCGATCACACACAAACATACATAGCCAAGCTATCATTTGTAAATTGTTTTTCAAACAATTTTCGTGCATTTCTAAACAAAATGAAGTCTTTATAAGGAAGTTCAAATACTTCATTTGACTCTTGCAAAAGATCAGTTCTTGTCACATTATTAGTCACATTATATGCAGAATCATCAATTTGCAATTGACGTGATGTAGTTGCTGTATCAGAAAAAGTAACAGCAGTACTTTCATCTAAAAATCTAACAGAAAATATGTTTAAATGTGAATAGTTGTAGCAAAAAAAAATTCTTACTTATGTCAATGGTGTTAACATTAACATCTAAATTGATATCTGGCTCAAGATTTTCTAATAAATTGACAGTAACCGATTATTTTCCTTCAGTTGTTTTGTTTGACGATGAATTCTTGATTTTTCAGAGTTTGTAAGAGGCTTTGAACCTGCATCAATATTTATAATTACTATTATAATAAATTAAAATTAGTCTTCATAGCCATCATAAAAGAGAAACATGTAAACTTTCTTTAAATCTCCAATAAAGAAATAATGTTTTCACAATTTCACTTATCATGTAATTGTGTTTGTAGAACTTCATTATTGACTGCTTGTTTGTTTTGACTATTTCGCTGGTGATACATTTTCATTCTTTGAGCAACTGTAGTATCTGTCTTTTGTAAAAATATTTTCCTTTTTAGTAATAACCTCAAAGGTATATAGTAACCCATAGTTTTAAGAATTAATAAATTTGAAAACATATAATTTAAAATTTTAATCTAAATATATATATTAGTACATAAAATTAACAAAAATCTGTATGAACTCATTAAATATTTCTCAAAAAAAAAATTAAAAATGAATTATATAATATTTCTGTATTCTGTAATTTTAATTTAAAATATAAATTTTATATAAAATTGATATTTTCATACAAAATTCGTATTAATTTCATTCAGAAAAATTTATTACCAGAGTTGAAATAACTATTAGTTTAATTTAATTTTGTCAAATAGTTTTTTTAACTTAAATTGCTATTTTAATTACTATTTTTTATTTTTTACACTTTTGTCAGGGTAAAAGTTCAATTTTAAAAGAAAACTGTTGAATCTAACGTGTACTTTAACATTATATTGAGGTCTCGTAAACTAAACAACAGTGCTCACGACCAAAAAAACAACAATGAAAGAAAATACTTTTGTAAGGAATTTTCAAACATTTTGTCTTTTGTCTTCACTTACATTTTATCTCTTGCACTCTACTTTAAAATAGCAAAGTTAAAACCACATTTTTAATCAATAACTGAAGTAATACAATTTACGATTATTTGCACTACAATTATTTATGGGGGACGGGATAGAATAGTCTTCCGATCCTGACATTTTTATTAACATATACTACTTACATATTTAATCTTACAAAGTTTTGACATAACACCGAAAATTTGAACAATATGCTTCACGCTTTCGGTGACGTACGCACGTATAAAGACCCGTATAGAAATTATATCATCGAGAGCCACTGATTCTCACTTCAGCTTGTCGTAACAATTTCCGTTGCATTTGTACGGATTTACACCCATGTCGCGCCTAAAGAAGTTTTTACTTCAATAATAACAAATTTATACCCAATCAACGTTTTAGTAAAAATATACTCAGGTATTGTAAACTAAACAACAGTGCTCAAAATAAAAAAACTAATACCTTCATCACAATTTGATATAGTGACAGTTTATATCGTGATATCAATAATGCCAGAATTGATCACACATTTCTTGCCTTCTACTTTAAAGTAGTTTTGTCATTTTTTATTCTTGTTTTTGAAATAATAGTGGACGAACTTTATTATCTATGACAGTTTTTGGAGTTTTTAACATAATTTCTGAACAACAACCATAAAGCCAGTAACAACGTAGGCACTTACCTGGCACCATCAGAAGTAAATGATTCGTTTTATTATGCAATAAGAAAATCCATTAGCACAAAAGGATGAGCTGGGACCAACCCTCAATGTTTAAGGGTGTAATATAATGTCAACTATAACATGCTGACTTCATTCCGAGGATTAATATGAAGAATTTATCAATTTTTTTGTGAAAATTTTTCTTAAACTGTTATAAATATTATAATTATATAAATACATATAAAATTATATAATTCGATATATATATATATATATATATATATATATATATATATATGTTAATTTCTTCAACTTTTTCTCCTTTCTAAATTTGACGGACATATTTATTCATACTTAAAAATAACTATGTAATAATATTAATATTCGAAGCAAGAAGAACTGACATAAATGACTAACTATTTTATATTTTTTAATATGTTACACAAATTTATCAGAATTATAATAATAGATACATCATTTCCTAGATATTTTCTTGACGACCTGTGTGTACGAGTGCCGACATCCATTGTTTTAGTATTTATTATTTTGAGTTAAACTATTGAGCATACTATTTGTTTATTGCGGTTTTTATATATTTAATAGAAGTAATTTCCATATACATTTTATTATTATTAATTTGAAAATTTGAAAATATTTTGTGTAACTAATGATCTTAAGTATAAAAAAATTAATTTGACCTAAATTTTATTCAATTGTTTAAATATTAAATTTAGTGCCCCTTGAATATTTTTTTGCTACTATATTCTTACATTTTTATAATATGTTACACTATTGAAATTATAATAATAGATATATCATTTATTAGATATTTTTTCCGTGAACGACCTGTGTGTACGATTGTCGTCTAAACACGACTTAGAGTGTGTCAAATTTTGCTTTAGTAACTTTTTACTTTGAGTTGAATTATTGAGCCTACTAATTTTTTCGTTGCGGTTTTTATATATTTAATAGAAGTAATTTTCAGACCCATTTTATTAATATTAATTGAAAAACTTGAAAATATTTTGTGTAACTAATGTTCTTAAGTACAAATAAATTAATTTAACAAAAAAAATCATATGTTCAAATATTAAATTTAGTTTAATTCAAGATTTTTTTGCTACTATATTCTTATATTTTTATATTCAAATGCTTTTTTTCATTTCAAATAAATATTTTCATTACGTAATATTATATTAATTTACATTAAGACAAAAAATTTATACAAAAAAAATTTTTGTCGTTTATTACAATTTTTCTTGCTGTTTTAACTTCATAATACAATTACAATATAATATTAATTTTAATAATTTAATGTTTGAAATTAAGATCTTTTTAGATTCATAATTTTTGTTTATGAATATACGATCGTATATTATTAATTTGGAAACCCACTTTATTTTTATTTGCGTTTTGTAATATAGTATGTCAATTTTTGATCACTTTATTTAGTACTTAAAAAATGATATTGTTATTTATTTTTTAAATTTTTTAGTAAATTGAATTTTAGTTCCATTATATATTGCAAAATAAATATTTTTATACTTTATTTAATAGATAATATTTTTCAGTACGCTTCACTATTTTTAAAATATTTCAAATAAATTCATTACATACAAAAAAAATTAACAATGTCCACTCATAAAATGTAATTTATTTTTTAAAAAAATATTAAATTTTCTTAACTTTTAAACAGTGGCGTAACTATACCCTCCGGGGCCCGTGGCAAAGTCTTCCGATGGGGCCCTATCGTGGTACTCAATTCTTAATTTATCTAATTTTGTTTAATTAAATTTAAGTTTAAATTTAATAAACGTTAATAGTCATTTACACGCTGTTTTACTACTGGCTAAAATAATTGTTAATGAATTTTATCACAATTAGCAAACCAACTTCGACTAATTTATATATTATGGCTTTAAATTATGAAATTATACAAAAGGCAGAAAAGTCAAGTTTTGATTTAGAGATATAATTATAATTTAGTTGTAATAATATAAAAATAACAAAAAATACATAAAACTTAATTTTTCTTGAAAATCAAACATGAAATATTAGTGAATATATTCAACGTTAGAATAAATGGAAATTAAAAAACCTATTTTTTTAATAAAAATTTAAAACAAATTACATAATCTTCCATTAACAATTTCTTCTTTTAATTTTATTGATTAAGTAGTGACGTTCGATCTTTATGAAAATTTATGATATAACTAGTTGGTATTTGCCTTGCGGCAAGTTACATGAACTTCACGATATGTATAAATAATCGACTTAATCAATAAAATATAAATTAATTTATGAGTAATTAAAAGTATTCCGAGTAGATTTATTATACATAATTGAAAACAAACGAACACGTTAACTCGGAGTATTCTCTAAAAGCTTTTGCAAACTTTGAAGAATTTTTAAAATTAAACGACTTGTCGTAGGTCCGTAATATTTTTAGTATGATCTACAAGACTATGATTATAACCGTCAAAAAAAATCATAAAATTCGTCGTAACTTTTTCATTTTAAACTTTATTACAATCAACAGTTTAGGTCGAGCGTTCGACGGGTTAAGATCGAGGTAAAATTAATACAAGTAATATTAGATAACAAATAATAAACGTGGTATGAGTCACAGGCTCGGGCCTGCTGATTTACGGCTGCCGGCAAACGGCAACAATAGTGTAGTGAGCACAGAAGTCGAAACTGGAATTAAAATAAGTAATGCAGTGCAATTAATTAATAATACGGATTATACGGAATATGATATTTCCGAAGGTATTGTTCATAGTAAAAATGAAATTCTAAGTGAGAATCATGTTGGAAAATTAGTTAATTCGAATAAAGTAAATAGCGTTCAAACGGATCTAAATGTTAGAAATAGTGATAGTAAAAGTATTAAAAAAAGTGGTGTAGTTAGTAGTAATAAGTCAGAAATAAGAAAAGATAGTAAAAAAATGGATAAAATAAATAAAATGAAATCTGAAAGGAATGCGTTAAATAAAGATGTTATTAAAAAGTTATAGTGGAATTGAATGAAGAGGAAATAAAAGAAATAATAAATATTAATAAAAACAAAGCAAGTGAAAATTTGAAAGAAACAGTTAAAAACTGGTTTGATATGGTAATGGAAGAAGAAAATAGTGAGGGAGTTGGGGTAAATGAATCTCATGTGAATAGTAATGATATGGTTGTTGAGGAAGAAGTCGATACAAATCAAAAAGAAATGACAGCTTTAAAAGATTTCGAGGGAAATCATAATGATATTGCAGTAAGAGAAAATTTTAATAAGAGTTTCAACATGTTAACTAGTGGAATAAATTTTTACAGTGCATTAGATGAAGGGCCTTATGAAGTTTATGCAGAATCAGAAAATCAAAATCTAGGTAACTACCATAGCGTAGCGTTGGGAAGAATGATTTATAAAAATTCCCCAGCATTAAGTAATAATATAGAAAATTTCACAAAAATTGGCAAAAACAAAATTAAAATAACATTCAAAAATTTTGAGTTTGCAAATAAAATAATTAGTGAAAATTTTTTGACCAAAAACAAAATAAAAGTATATATTCCTAAACATAAATTATGTAGGACAGGTATAATATTCAATGTTGATTCTGATATGGATGAGGAAGAAATTAAAGAAGTCATTAAATCAGAAATTGAAATAATTGATGTTAAGTGTATAAAAAAAAGAAATACAAACCATAGTTTTAACAAATCGCAAATGGTTAAACTTATGTTCAAAGGA